CATGTACACTTTAAACGCTTTCGTCAGACACGATTGCGTCGCTGTTTGCTTTACTATGAGTCGTCTAAGCCTGTAACTACGCTATAGTATTCGAGACAGTTTTTGCTCCTCTGGTTGACCGAGCTTGGCTTCGAGCAACGGCGACGCAATTCCGATTGACGAACTTTTCCCTTGGAGTTGTGCCTCTTTGAAAATTAAACGGGACTTGGAACTCTTCGGAGTGGAAAATCGACTTTGGCGTTTCGTTGAATTATTATTCTACAAGTTTTCAAGACACCCTGTATAGTTACATCGTTCTCTGAAAGTAGGCAGTAAAAGTTCCCGAATTTTCGAAGACTCGCGATTGGTTCGTATGAAATTGCCGAATTTTTACCAAACGAACATATACAGGGTGTCTCACTTGTAACGAACATCTAAATTATTCTTGTTGTTATTGCAATTAAGGGAAAAACGGACTGAGTCGAATTTATATTGTTCGAAAACGTGCAAAAAGTCTTTCCAAAGGTCATCTTGAACGAAGGTCATTCCAAGGTCATCGACATTTGTTCTGTACCGTTTACAGTCAACGAAAAGTTATAACGTCATAGATAAATGTCTTTTGTAAGCATCTCTCTTGATCATTTTTTCTCATTTTCAACACCAGTGAAAATGATTCAGATGTTCGTTACAAGTGGAACACCCTGTGTAATAAAATGGGGCATTTACAGAGCAGCGTAAGTACAAAAACGTCCCTCGATTTTTCATCTTAATCAAACAGTTAGAAGTCTGATTATTAACTATTACTCGATATACTTTCAAAGGGATTCGAATTGGCCATAGAATTTTTGTTCTCAGTTCTTACTGAAATTGAACACATTTTCTTCTCTTCTTCCAATAATCATTCTTCCATTTATATTGTATTAAACCTCTACAACATTATGCGACTTGGACGTCACGTCTTCGTTTATCTATATCTTATGAGTCCTTGTTTCATCTGTTTATTTCTATACTATCGTATTATATTGTACTATTACGCAATTACTCGCTTCTCTTCATTAAAATATTATAAATATAAAATTCTGATCAACCGTAATTCCTCCTTGTTTCTCTTCTTCTTCGTGAATTACAAGAGAGTTTAGGAAAATGAAATATTATTTCTTCTCTTATGGGGAGTTTTCCACTATTTCACGTCATCGACGACACCATCGGTTTCTATTTCCCCTTCTACCACGGTCAAGAGGATTTCAATCATAAAAAAAAAAACATAGACGTTTACGAGCACTTTCACAGGAATACTGTCATAAATATGCATGAAAGAATAACGGCCAGAGAGAAGAGTTCTCGCTTTTAAAACACTGGATTCCAAGGGGCCAAATGGAACGCGCCGGCTCTTCAGTGACCCGTTTCACTTCCGGTCACGTCGGTTCAATGGCAGACGGCGGGAAGAGTTCCAGGTTCTGTTGTACACGGTTGAAATAAAGCGATTGTTTCGATACTTAAAAAGCCACTTTGTTCACTTGTAACGCGCGTTTGGAAACACTCGACTTCCTCGGGGAAGACTTTCCTGCGTGTAAGTATAAAAGAATAATTCAAAGAAGGAACACCTTGACGACTTAACGGAGATCGTAGCGCAAATGAACAAAGGGACTCGTCGCGTTCGACGATTGAGAAAGAAATTTTGGCAATTGAAGATTTTCGTTGCAAAAACAGGCCGTTTTTATTCGAAATTATTCATCAGTCGTTTCGATAGGGCACGATAAATTAAAAATAGAAACTAACATGAAGCGTATGTTTGTAAGACTTGGAAACAAAAGAGAAAGAATTTTCTGACCTTCGATAAAGTTCCTTCTTCTTTCATTTCCTGAAGAATATCAATTTTTCAGACATGTTCTTGCGCCAAAATCCACAATTTTGATTTTCATTTCAATGGGATATCTCATAGGCACACACTCGGCAACGAAATAATATCACGCCCCCGCAGAAAAAACGAAGCTAAACATTTTATCGAAAATCTCTGTCTCACACACACACGCACGCACGCACGTACACGCACATACACACACACGTGCTATCCCTTTCACGAGAGTTTTCCGCGTCGCGGTTACACGCTGGCCCAAAGGCAATATTTGAAATCTCCTACGAAATTGAGACATCAACAACAATTCGCTACGGAAGCTCGCGAAATTTTTCCTCTCCTTCTTTAAAAATTTCATTTCTGGAATGCAATCAGTGCTCCTCGACCTATTCGCTTGAAAAAGAAAAATTGACAAAAAAAAAACATTGTAAAAATAAGTTCCTTCTGTTAGAACTACGTTCCCCTTTTTTCCTTAGAGAATCTTTAACCCTCTGCCTTGCTACGTTTTTACGCCTACGCACGTTCTTTTCTTCCATGATTTATAAATAAAAGGAAATTTAAATACTGCGCGTCATTTATATTCGATAAGTTTCAAGCATAAATCGAAGTTGAAGTTAGAAGTCACATTCGAGGTTATTTTACAAATACAGTACTTCTTGTAAAAGAGAGACCACGAGATCGGTACAACGCTGTACGTTTGTGTGCTACTACGCCGGAAATACATACGTAGCCTGGCAACCGCGGTAGGACGCGTGGGTGAGCAAAGAGAAACAGTTACAGTTTAACGGTGTACAAAAAGAGTGTGTGAAACAAGCGTGAAAATACAAACATGTCGTATTAATCGAACTCTCGTTTTTCCTTATTTGAAACGGAAAAACCGTACAGATTATGGACCCGGGATACTATTCTACCCTGCGCCAGTGAATTTTACGGTAAGAACAAAAATAAGTTAGGTTAGGTTAGTGAAAACGACGGTCACGTGGTCGCGAAAGAAAGAGACATGGCCGCATCAGGAAATCACACTGGTGTATTATCAAGATATATTACTAGTTAGATTCATCGAGCGCCTCAGTTTATATAAAGAAGCATTGAAGTCAGTACGCGAGACGGTACCATTAGTGCACATTTAACAAAACGTCACCGCGACATTCAATCTTGTGCAATCGCGGGAGTACGTTACGACGCACCATTGAATAACGCTTTGACTATAACTACGAGTCGTCGAAAATACAGACGAAGAAATTTGAAACAAACGTTAATCATCTTGAGCGTCACTGAGACACAATTAAAGTCATAGTGATGTAAGTCACATTTCCGCATATTTCGACCTAAGTGCTGAAATACAACCTACACGTGTCAAACTGTTAAAAAGACAAGTGAAGTATGTCATAATTGGGACAGCCTTTTTGGTAACATTGAATACGATACAGTACCAAATTTCATGCTGTGGAATTTATTTTATCTTTTCTAATAACATTCTCTGTTTCTCGGAATAAGGAAATTGTGACTTACACCACTATGACTTTAACCCCTTCGATCGAGTCCTGCAAAAAAGGCTAAAAAGTCTAAAAGCAGTACACGAGTTACCTCGGCTCGAGGCTCGATTAGAAAAACTGTTTCGTACAAGTAGCTGTACAAATTAAAAAAGGAATAAAATCAAACCTGGATAGAATTTGTGATCGCTTTTCAAAGCAAAGTAGAACAGTTAGAAAAAACGAGTATAAAGATAATACTGTTCGCTGCATTACCGATCCGATATGGAAGGCTTCTGCGTACCGATCGAATCGAGGGTTGATGTTTTGAAAACCTTCGATTGATGTTTTGGAAGCAAAATTAATATAGTAGGAAGCAAAAAGCCACGAATGAAGGCAACGCTTTATTTGCTAAAGGAAAATTTTCACACTTGAAATGAATAAAACCGTACGCGAAACCACTGAGGAGTGAAGGAGACAAAAGCTGCAGAGATCGTCCACGTTATGAACACGTCCATCAAAGATTTCTGAAGAGTACCTCAACTAACAATAAGTAATATCAAATGACTAATATTCAATCGTTGCAGAATTATCAAAAAGGTTACCTGTACACAGAGCAACAGTAGAAAAACAGATACATGCGCTTATTTCTAATGGGTTTACCGCAACTTTCGATCAGTGGGTACCGCATCATCTATCAGACAAAATGACCACGTGTCTTTCTCTGCTTCCACGTCACAGTAATGAACGATTAGTAATGGGTAATGAAAAGTGGGTTTTTTACAGAAATGTGAAGCGTCGAGTTGGACAGCCTACTCCATCGACTTCAAGAGGAGAATTGCATCCGAGAGAAAGAGATGACGAGATCGGCGCAACGCTGTACGTTGTGTGTGCGCATGCGCATGTGACAACGCCGGAAACACGTAGCCTAGCAACCAGTAACAAGCGTGGGCGGGTGAAGAGAAAGAATAGTTGCAGTTGAACGGTGCAGAAGACAGTGTGTGGAAGAAGCATGAGAATACAGATATGTTCTATTAACCAAACTCGTTGTTTTTCCTTATTTACAACATAAAAAGCCAATGCTTCTTTTATCATATCTTGGCAATGTCACGATCTACACCACGAATGTGACTTGTTATTACAAGGTGGTCCAAAATGAAGTGCACTTTCTTTATGTCTTTTGTTAAATCGATTATCGAAAATTTAATCACCATGAATTGTCGATTATTTCGTGTTTAATACAATTTACACGACGTTAATCAGTGCCTGAGAGTAAATGTGATTTAAAGATTCGAACTAATTGATTCGACGTTGAACAAATGACCAAACGGCGAACTTCAACAAAACTAAATGAAGTTTCGACGAGTTTTAACAAGAGATTTAAAAACTCCATCTGTACGAAAGAAAGAAGCAGACTTAGCTGCAAGAGTATGCATCCAAAGCTATTCCCCATGAAATGTGCAAGCATGTTTTCCAAAACATTAGAATCAGGTTTGCAATTTCATTTTTAGAACCTATTTTTCCCGTTAATTCACAGAACAATAAAAATAGTTTCCTTTCTTAGAACTTTTAAACCCATTTCTTATTTTAATCATTTCTTTTCTTGGAACTCTTAAACTCATTTAAATAATAAAAACTACTTTGAGCAAACACTTTTCTCGTTATAATTTTATCAAAAGTATATTTCTCTCGGGATCACCTTGTGCAAGGCAAAGGATTAAACTTTTTTGCAACTGTTGAGGAGACACTGTTCGATTATGCTCGCGATCCGTAGCAACGTTCCTCGCGTTGTATGGCTATCAATTTATAAATACATATCCCTAATGCATCATACATCGCTACTCGTTATTTTACAATATCTTCAGTGACCAATTCACTCTTTATGTCTGTCTTCATCTGACCTGGTCTAGCAACAAGGAGGCCGCTAAATCTACGTCGTATTCAGTCTGCTTCAGAGCACCCTCGCACCGTTGTCGGTCTGCCAAGCCCAATCTGAAATTGCAACAGTCGGTTGCACAATTTTCCGTTGCTCGTTCAGCTTCGTTCCACAATTTAAAAACCGGCAATATTATCCCTGAACAGCTGACCGAGCTCAAATAAACCGATTAAGCTTTCCATTTTCTACTCATGAATTACTGGTGGAAATTTACGATGATCAAATTCATTAATCTTACTCTCTGATGTTCTGATGTTCGTTGAATATTTATTCGGTGAAATTTTCGGTGAATTCAAAACGTGTTTGAGAGAGGAAATCGAAAGTGTAAAACACACGTGAAACTTTTTAACAGGGACTCGATAATTAGTTAAAAAGTGAAAGGAATATTAAACGTCACTTTCTTTTCGAAACTCTTCTGATCAGTTTTCTTGTGTACATAGAGGATGAACACATACACGGGAAATTATGCAATTTTAGAGAAGAAATCTCTTGAGGAAAGAAGAGAAATAATGAAGTATAAGAAATTTGTCGTTTCTAAGGAAACAGAATTTTTCACAAAATACTGAGTGACATGTATTATCTAAAATGTTTAAAATACCAAAGAATTTTCTTTATGTTTAGATTGCAGGCTAGCCAACTTATGATTTCCTTTTTACCGCCTTCCACTTCAACACAACAAGTTATTAAACACAGAGTCAGGGAACTTTTATTAGATATAATGCTTTCTGTATGAATACAATGGGTATTCACCAGTAACTGGTCCTCAAATCAAATCACACCTAAGGATCCTCCTCCTAAAGAAAAAACATATTCCAGTCCATTGTTTTCAACATTCCACCAGAAATTCATGAAAAGAACAATACAAAGTGGTCCACACAAATGGAACAAGTCAATCTTTTTTCTGATTGCAATTAGAAAAGAAATATTACAGTTACAGTTGCACAATTTTGAAAATAGAAACATTTTTTTTTTTTTTAGATTAAGTCTTCAAAAAGCAATTAATTAGTGAGATATTTTAAATAAATGTCTTCATTAAAGAAGCTCAAACGTTTCTTTGTTTACAACCTTGCAATGGAGCATTTGAGCCTCCAAAGGGCGGCCTTGTAATGAATACATTTATTCAAAATAAACCCCAAGAAGTGACAATGTTATCGACCACTTCATCCTAACGATCTACTTAAAAAGAAAATACTTTTCCATTAAAAAACAGAAAAAAATGGTGCAACAGCAAAATACACATACATTCGCAAAAAAGAAAGTATGCTCCTTAAATCCTAATCCTCTTTCAACTATTCACCTTTTTCCCCTAACATTTCCTTCTAATTGCAATCAAGAAAGAACTATTACTTCTTCCAGTTGCGTGAACTCTACGTCCTGTACGTACACTCGATGAAATTAATCCAGGACCTACCTGACAAGGGACTCTACTTTCGCCTGCCTGTCCTTCAGGATCTGCTTGGCGGCTTGACTAGTGTCCCAGCCTGTAGCCTGCAGTGCAGTGAGTATTTCCTGTTGCGACGCGTCCCCCGCCTCCCTCTGCACCTTCATCACTTTGTTCGCGCGAAATTCATCGTTAAGGGACATGACCAGTTGCTGGGAGGCGGCGGTCAAGGGGGGGCTCACTCCGGATGGGTAGGCGGACGTGGAGGGGGCTAATTGAGTATTAACGACCGTTTCGGTCATCTGAGGAGGCAGGCATCTCGTCGAGGATGGTTGCGGTGTGACGACGCCGCCCTCATGGGGGGGATTTGTTTGCGTAAGCTGCAGCAGATTCGGGCTGCTTGCTATATTAGACTTCATAGTGGTCTGAGTCTGCGTCAGACCATTCTGTACAGACTTCATGGGGCTCCAGTTCGCTTGAGGCGGAGGATTGTACACCGGTGGCTGCTTCAGGTGAGGACTGAAGTCGCAGGGATGACCCTGAGCAGATAGACTTCTCGCAGGTTGAGTAGGACGTGGCAGAGAACCAGCAACAGCTCCCTCCATGTAGTTACTGCTGTGACTTAGATTACTCGCTGAGTCTGAAGCAGTCGACGTGGTAGCTGTATAGTAGTTTCTCAGAATGTTCTGCTGCACTGTCTTATTGTACAGAGTATTAAACTCATTTTGAGATAATTGCTCCAGGTTTGGAACCGTCTGCTTCAGCTCAGCGTACACCTGCTCAGAGAACACCATGCCGGAAGGCTTCGAGGCAGAACTACTACTCGAATGTGCTTGCTGGAGGTCATTCTGTATCTGCGTTATTCCATGACTACTGGGTAAAGGTAAAGAAGCAGCCTGAAATTGGCTGGGCTGAGGAGTCATTGGGAGAGTGTTCTGTGCGTGGTTGAAGGTCGGTTTTGATACGTTGCTGGGAGCGATTTGCAACAGATTCAGGTTTGATTGAGTATTGCCAAAGGTACTGTGCTGTGTAATCTGAGACTGCTGCCAGATCTGGCCTACCATCTGCTCAGTGGTCGTTTCTGAGACCCTCTGTTGCTCAGGCTGCGCACGGGGAGGCTGTTGAATATTAGTACTCTTTGATTGCCAGGAGTTCTGTACTTTGCTAGGTAGATTGGTGCACCTGTAGTCTATCTGTGGAGACTTGCGTTTCACTGTTTGAGGCGGAGGCCTTAACGTTGGGATAGTATTGTCTTGTAATTTGTTCACTGATGAGTAAGGATCAGAAGTTCCAGGATTCTGCTGGCTAGCGTTCATATTCTTGCTCGCCTCTTTCTCTCCTAGGTGCTTCTCTAACTCTGCCAAGAAGGCAGGGTCTAATTTCTTAGGTGACGCGTTTCTGGCATTGATAGTCAGCTCGTTCAGACTTTGAGCCAAGTCGTGGTTAGATTTTGGCTTTGGAGGGCTCTCGTTAGGGGCCACAGGTGGCGGAGGAGGAACGTCAGATCCTTGAGGTCGACTAGAGACGTTCACGTACGTCTGTGATTCATTCTGCAAGTCCTCTGGCCACTGGGACCAGCTGGGTACGGGAGGACTGGGCTTGTCTATCTCGCTATAGTGGTTCTGGCTGTACGTGTTACTCTCTTCTGTGTCTACGTTCACGTTTAAGTTAATGCTGTCGTTCCTGCTCTCCTTGCTCAGGCTTATAGAGTAGTGGTTCACCTCTGACCCAGACTCTGGCGTAAAATAATTTGTACTCTCCTGGGTGCTGCTGCCAGCGTCCTGATTTTGAACATTTCCGTAAGTCTGTGTCTTGAAGTATCGACTACCAACATCTGAAGGAACGTGGCTGTAATATCTCGAATGAGGAAGTTTCATGAATACAGATGAGGTGTCAAATGGGTCTGAGTAAGCTGGATCAACGTTTCCAGGGAAGTTGGCATAGGTTCGAGGGTCTTCAACCTGCCAATTCGTCTGTTCTTGTCGTTCAATGACATCGATAGGCTCGTCAAGAATATTCACTACCCGCCGACAGGCAGTGTCTGATTGCGCTACGCTCGTATTCACCATTTCCTCCGGTGACAGATCTATCAAGCTACCTTCTTGACTACCACTTGGCGCAGACGTGTTCGTCGATTTAACGGGACTAGCTCGTATATCGTTTTGCAGTTTCGTGTAATTGAACTGTTTTCTCGATCGTGGAGTGCCACAGGAGAATTTGTCTTTCAGGTGACTGTCTGGGGCTATCGCAACGCCTACAACGTCTGGTGGTTCCATGGGGTTTCGAAGGTAGACGTCGTCTATGTAGATAGGGCTGCCCCAACTTTTTCCGAAGGGTGCACCGTGACCAGTGTGTATGAAAGAGTTCTCTAGCGGTTTGCTGATATCCTCTGGCTGTTTGCGTCTCATAGGATCGACCAAACAGCGAGGAAACAGACCAATCTGAAAAGTTCGCTGGTTCTGGCCTTTCCACCAGTAGTTCTCTGGTCGACCATCTAAGATGACTATCTGGTCACCCTGTTCTATGATCATTTTTTCAGCTTCTTCAAAATGATTCACGGCTTTCATCACAGCTGGGACCATGCCTGTTAAAGATGATCGCAGAGAGGCAAAAGTTGGCCTTTCTGATGGATCTCTGGCCCAGCAACGCAGCATCAGTTGATACATAACTGGTGGCGTTGCATCTGGTTCGTGCAACCTTTCACCGTCCTTGTCGATCTTTCTTAGGATCTCTGATCCGTTCAGACCTACCCATGGCTCCTCTCCAAACGTCAGCATCTCCCATAACGTTACGCCAAACATCCAAACATCTGACGCATGACTAAACTGACGAGCTTTTAGTGATTCCGGAGCACACCATGGAAACGGCACTTTCTTGTGTTCCGTCATCACGTAACAGTCCTCCTGCTGGGGCAGGGCCCGCATCAGGCCAAAGTCACCGATCTTCACTTTGTCCACTGAACTTAGGAGCACGTTTCTGCAAGCCAGATCACGGTGCAGGAAACGTTTTGCCTCCAAGTACGCCATCCCGGTGGCGACTTGCAGAGCGTAGTTGCACAGGGTTAATACTGAAATTCGACTGCACTGTTTTCTCAGGTAGTCCAACAGTGCTCCAAGAGGAGCCAGTTCTGTCACCATCATCATTGGCTGGGACAACACTACACCATATAATCTACAAAGAGGAAATTAGCTAGATTAAAATTAACAAAGTGGTAATTTTCTCTTTATTTTCTTTAATATATGTACCTAATGAGATTATGATGATCCAATGTATGCATTGCTTGAACTTCTGACACAAAGTCTTCTATAACACTTGGCTGAGTTAGGGCATCTGCTTTCAAAACTTTTACAGCAACAGGCAATGTTCTTCCGGAGGGAGAGGTCCACTCTCCACGTCTCACTACACCAAAACTTCCATCACCCAGTTTAATGGACAATGTCACATCTTTGTCTTGAATGAGACAAGTTAGCACCGAAGAACCTTCCACTGGTTGGGAGGATCTCTTGTTAGTTTTTGTGCTACTGCCAGGTCTGATCTTGGTCATCAAGCTCTTCTTCCATTGAGTATGTCTCTTTTTCTTAACAGCATCTAGTAATCTTCTGATGCCTGGCTTTCCTAGACCTATCTTCTCAAGGTCTTCAGGTTGCACATAGTCAAAGTGGTGTAGTCTGGTGACTTGTAAGTCATCCCGTATTCTGGTGAAGAACTGTGAAAGCTGGACATCGTGCAGCAATTCTTGCAACCATTCTGTACCCTCATCATCTGCCATGTTCAATTATTCTAGTGTGCTAGAAGGAAAAGAAGTGTATTAAATATATGTCACCTAGTATAAATACACGTGTTAGTATTTAATAACTACATAAAATTAAATGCAAAAGTAAATCATTACCACAGTTAATTTATACACGGGGAAAATAAGAAAAACAAAGTGTTAAGAAATAATATATTTATTCAAATAATACAATTTTGTGGAGGTTTAGTGAATGGTGATATGAAAATAATTGTTAAATGGAGTTAATATTATTTATTCATATTTTTACAGAGTATTTTAAAAGAGGTTGAGCATATATATGAAACAATTAGTATCAAAGGATCATGTGGGTGTATAGAATGATACAAATATGGTATTTATCATTCATTCCTGTCTCCCCCTGAACAGGAAATGAAATAATGTTTAGCTGCAAGGAGAAGAGCAACTGGCACATGCCATGCCACGCATTGCTTTGTGCATGCAAAAAAAGCCAACCATAAATTGCGCTCTCACCACACATACAAGGAGAATACTTTTACAACAATAGACTTTAATATAAAATAGTAAAAGAATTCAGATTATACACATTTTGCAATCACAATCTATCCTGTGCACTTTCAAAAAAATAACAAAAAAAACAAGATCCAATCACCAAAACAACAAATCAATTAATCATCATTATCATAGAAAAAAAAAACAATAAAAAAAAAAAACTACGTCTACATAGGACGCGAACTATGACCACTCGTGCAAAAAAGAAAACTTAGTCGCGTCAATCGCTATCGCGTCACGCACTCTCTCTGCAACACATGCCAAATCTTCAACGAGAGAACAAAAAAAAAAAACAAAAAGAAATTGGATATTCCACGGGATAGAAACATCGATTACCTTTCAACGGAGGAAAACAGTCTCGAGTGCAGTTATGTTTCCATTCCGTCGGCGCGCGTGATCGTCGCAACACGATTCTGTTTACGGTCTTTCGGTGCATGTGCAACACGGGGGAAATCCAATACGAAATTCGACGGCGGTGGCGGCGACGGCGAAATTCGAGC